ATAGTGCAGATCTAGAACATTTCCACCATTGTGGGAAGTTCTGTTGGATAGTGCAGATCTAGAACATTTCCACCATTGTGGGAAGTTCTGTTGGACAGTGAAGGTCTAGAACATTTCCACCATTGAGGGAAGTTCTGTCAGAGAGTGCAGATCTAGAACATTTCCACCATCATGGGAAGTTCTGTTGGACAGTGAAGGTCTAGAATATTTCCACCATCGTGGGAAGTTCTGTTGGACAGTGAAGGTCTAGAACATTTCCACCATTGAGGAAAGTCCTGTCAGACAGTGCAGATCTAGAACGTTTCCACCATCGTGGGAAGTTCTGTTGGACAGCGCGGGTCTGGAGAAAAGGGCGGGAGGTGTGCTCAGGGTTGCTCAGGGGCTCTGTACGTCCCTGAACCCTGCACCAAAGGCTGGCCTTGCAGCCCCTGTCCCCACCCTGCTTCCAGCTCTGGATCATTCCCAGCATCCTTGGCAGCTCCAACCTCTACTTCCTGTCGGACGATGACTGGGAGACCATTTCTGCCTGGATCTACGGCCTTGGCCTCTGTGGGCTATTTGTGGTGTCTACTGTGTTCCACACGATCTCCTGGAAGAAGAGCCACCTCAGGTACCTGCTCCAGACCATGGGAGGGGGGCGCGTGCCGGGCAAGGTGTCCGGGGGCCGGGACCCACAGCAGGCCGAGGGCTGAGGCAGGACGTGGAGTTGGCCTCAGGGCATGCTTGGCTAAGTTAGGAGGGGCCCAGGGTGGATGACCCCTGTGCTGTCTTTGCCTTGGGCCGGTCAGGGTTGAGTCCCACCTGGGCAGACCACCTCACCCACACGGGCCTCTTTTGCTCACCTCTGAGAGGCCCAAAAAGCAAGCGCCTAGCTCCCAGGGCTGTTTTGAGGGAGCATCATTACCATCATCATAATCACACTCTGCCAGATTTCCCTGGGTTCTGGGCACTCTACAGATGTCCCTCCTCATCTTTTCAAGAACTCTGCAGTGTAGGCATTAGAATCCCTGATTTTAATTTTGATTTGTTTTGTTTTTAATTTTTAAAAAATTGTGGTAAATACACGTAACACGAAATTTACTGTCTTACCCGTTTTTAAGTGTCCAGTTCAGGGGCATCAAGGACATTCATGTTCTTGTGCAACCATCACCATCATCCATCTCCAGAGCTGGTTCATCTTCCCAAAGTGAAACTCTGTCCCCATTAAACACTAACCCCCCATTCCCCTCCCTCAGACCCTGGCACCCACCATTCTGCTTTCTCTCTCTAGGAATCTGACTATTCTAGGTACTTCATCTCAGTGGAATCATACAGTATTTGTCTTTTCATGACTGGCTTCTTTCACTTAGCATAATATTCTCCAGGTTTATCCATGTTGGAGCGTGTGTCAGAACTTCATTCCCTTTTCAGGGATGAATAATATTCTATTGCATATATGGACCGCATTTTGTTCATTCATCCATCAGTGAACACTTGGGTTGCTTCCACCATTTGTGCTGGCTTCTTTCACTGAGCACGCTGTCCCAGGGCTCTTCGCTTGGCAGTGTGTTAAGTGCCTATTTTGTGGATGACCACACTGAAGCTCGGAAGGTGGTGGGCCTTGCTCAAGGTCGCATAGCTGGTTGTGTCCAAGCCAGAGCTGATTCCAGGAGTCCAGGGCCCCCATAAAACAAGGGGACACTCTAGCCCATGGCAGCAGCCGCAGTGACCACTCATCCCCATGTCAGTGCGTCCCTGCCCCCAGAAGCCCCATGACTCTGCTGTGTCCCGCGCCTCCCTGTCTCCACTCTTCCCCTCTCTGTGGGTCCTTGTCGAGCACCACTGTATGAGCTTCCTGTGGTTGCTGTAACAAATTACCACAACTGGGTGGTGTGAACAACAGAATTTATTTTCTCATAGTTTAGGAGGCAAGAAGCCCAGGATCAAGGTGTCAGTGGGCCATGCTCCCTCCAAAGTCTCTAGGGAAGTCTCCTTCCTCGCCTCTTCCAGCTTCTGGTGGCTCCCAATAGTTGTTGGCTTGTGGCTGCATTGCTCCAGTCTCTGCCTCTGTCTTCACACGGCCTTCCTGCCTGTGTGTCTCTGTGTCCGAATCTCCCTCTCCTTTTTCTTCTGAAGACACCAGTCACTGGGTTTAAGGCCCACTTACCAGTGGTGTGACTATGCTGCCCTTTGGTGTCCTCGTCTGTGACATGGTGGATGAAAATAATGGTACCTACCTCTTAGGTGGGATTGAAGAGTTAATGCTCATAAAGAGCTTAGAACAGTGCTCTGATTATAGTGTGTATAGTGCTCTATACGTCAGCTGTTTCTATTACTTTTATTTCTAGGAAGAATGCAGTTAAACCATACGTAGAATCACTGGTCAAATTTATTGAGGGCTGTAGTTTGCTCGACAGAATCACAGTTTGTATCAGTTATCTATTGCTGCATAACAAATTACCCTAAATCATAGTGGTTTAAAGTAACAATAAACCCCGATTATCTCTCAAAGTTTCAGAGAGTCAGGAATTCGGGAGCTTAGCTGTGTGGTTCTGGTTCACGGTCTCTGATGTGGTCAAGATGCTGGCAGGGGCTGCCGCCATCTGAAGGCTTGACTGGGGCTGCAGAAGCCACTTCCAAGGTGGCTCCCTCATGTGGCTGGCAAGTTGGTGCTGGATGTTTGGGGGCTGCTCAGTCCTTCCCACGTGGACCTCTCCACAGCCACATGGTGGCTTGTTGCCCCCAAAGTTAGTGATCCAAGAGAGCAAGGCAGAGGCTGTAATATCTTTCATGACCCAGCCTCAGAAAGCACACACCATCATTTCTGCAACCTCCTGTTGGCTACATGCGTTTGCCTTATTCATTGTGGGAGGGGGCTACACGCAGGTGTGAATACCAGAAAGTGGGGCTCCTTGGGCACCATTTTGGAGGCTGGCCACCACACTGGCCAAACGTATCGAGGGCTACAGTTGGCTCTTCAAGGTGAGGTCATAACAAAAGCAGCTAACATTCATTGAGCGCTTCTCGTTATGCGCTGTGCTGAGTGCTACCTCACTGATCCTCACAGCAGCCCTGTGATGGGTTGCCAATATCCTCCCCATTTTGCAGATGAGGGAACTGAGACCCAGGGAAGGTAAGGAACTTTTTCAAGGTCATAGTCCCTAAGCGGTAGGGTTGGGATTTGAACCCAGGCCTTCTGGCTCGGGAGCCTGGACCTGAACCAGAATGCCAGAACCCAGAGGGTCTTCAAGGGGCACATAGCTTTGTTTGTTTTACACCTTTTTTTAGCCACTGACTTCTTTCATCATTTGAAATCGATTGAAAAGCCCAGTGTATGAGACAGAAATGCAGAGTTGCTGTGATTAAAGTAGGGGAGGAGGCTGTCAGACCTTCACCTCTGGGGAGAGGAGGGTCCTCAGCGGGACCCCCAGGCGTCTCCATTCACCCCTAGGGTGATAGGGAGCCTAGTCTGAAAACCACTGGTCTGGTCACTCACAGATGGGGAGACTGAGGCTGGAGGGGTCGTGGCTGGACAGAGGCGAGGCAGCCGAGCCCAGGCCCCTCCCAGTGTGGGAAGGCCTGTCTGCCCGGGGCGCGGCTCTGGGGCCCTAACCGCCCTCCTCGTCCCCAGGATGGTGGAGCACTGCCTGCACATGTCCGACCGCATGGCCATCTACTTCTTCATTGCAGCCTCCTACGCGCCCTGGTGAGTACCCGTGGGCCGGACCGGGGCGGGCTGTTCCTTCGCTTTTCTTTGTTTGAATTTCTTTTTATATTTGACTGGTGAAAATGTTGACTCAACACAAAAGACTGTAGGTAAAAGACACCCTCTGCCCGTTCTCCCGCCTAGAAGCAACTTCTTAGTTCCAGTTTCTTGTGTGTCCTTCCAGAGTTATTTTATACATAAAAGAGCAAGTGTGTGTGTAAATATATGTATAAACGTGTATATACGTGTGTATACATGCACATACGTACCTATATACTTATATTTTGTGTTTATAAGTGTATATTTATATATTTGTATATTTCCTCTTTTAATACAAAAGGGAGGCTGCTGTACACGCTGTTCTGTAATTTGCTTTTGTTCTCTTGTCTCTATGGGGACATCTCTCCATATCAGTGCCTTGAAGATTTCTGCGCTCTTTTTCTTACATCAGCGTAATATTCCCTGCCCGCCCCCCGTTTGTGGATGTTTATGAGGTTGGGACACCCCTTCCTTTGCTGTAACAACAGCACCGCAGTGAATGTCCTTGTGTGGGTGTCATTTGGCACACGTGCGTGGAGTGTGGCTTGAATCAGATGAAATTGCTCAGAGGCCACCCTTCTCGACTACAGACACAGCAGCTTCAGGTGGTCCGCCTGATCTTTGGGGGAGAAATACCAGGACTTGGTCTGCAGGGAGGTGGGGAGCCGGTCTCGGTATTTGGCGCACTGTCTCCAGATTGCCCTCCATGATTGTGCCCGTTTAAACTCCCCCAGCAGGTGACTCAGAGTTTTCGAAAGTTCTGGAATAAGGAAACGCTAAGCTTCAGGTCACATGTGGGAAGCCTGAGGAGCCTGCAGTGCCCCTGCAAGGAAGGAAGACCGTTCCGCTTACATTTGTTGACCACGTATTCCGCAGTTGCTGCTGCTGCTGGGGGTCGGGGCGCTGAGGTTCTGGTCGGTGTGGGGGATCTGTGACAGGACAGCGATGGACAGTGAGACGGGCCTGTGTGCAGCCATGGGAGCTCAGAGGAGGCACTGCCCTGGCATGGAGGCTTCAGGAGGGCTTCCTGGAGGAGGTGTGCCACTCGGAGACTCTGCATGTTTGGCCTCTGCACGAGGAGTAAGGAGCCACAGAAAGCTTTATTATTCCATTTTACCTAGGGAATTTCTATTTTTGGCTGTCATAAATGGGCATTCTCTCATTATTTCAGCTAATAAATGGGTTTTGTGTGTATATACGAAGGCTGTTGCTTTTGAACACATTTTATTGAGGCGTACTGCACCTGGAGAACAGGCACCGTTGTGTGTACATCTCGGCGCATTTTCACACTGCAGCCAGCATCCTGATGGAGGAACAGAACACGTCCAGCCCCTCGGCCCCCTCTCCTGTCACCATCCCCCTGAGGGAACCACAGTCTTGACGTCTGTCATCATACGATAGTTTTGCCTGATTTCTTAGTTCACATTAAGGGCATCATCGTTCTTTCTGATCTTGCCTCCTTCACGCAACATAACGTCTGGTGAGACTCACGGAGTCATTGTGCAGGAGTCGTCCATCCTTTCCCCTTGCTGGACACTGTCCTGGGGGAGTACACGCAGGTATCCATGCTCCGGTGGCAGGCATTGGCGTGGTTTCCAGTCCTCTGGCCACTCCTGTACAGGTGTGGCGGTGGACGGAGTACAATGGGAGGCTGTCGGGTCTACACTTAGCAGTGGATGGGGGTTAGAAGCAGGATGTTGACGTGGTTTTATTTTGTGGGCTGAAGGGTGGCTGCCTTGGGAGCAGGGATGTGCAGAGGAGGCAGGTGCAAGGACCTGGGAGAGACATGGTGGTGGCCTGGACCCCTGTCGTGGCCGTGGAGGTTGAGGGGAGTGGATGGATGGATTGAAAAGGTATTTACAGGGAACCGAGTGGCCTGACTGACTGCAGCTTGGGGGAGAGGTAAGAGGGGGAGTCCAGGGTTTCTGGGGCTGGCTTTCCTCGGGAATTGGCCCCACTGCTTCTGCCTGGAGACATCGTCAGACGCAGCCCCATGGCCATCCAGGCTTCGAGGGAGGAGGGGACCTGCTTCTCTCCTGAAAACCCGTATGCTTCTGGCTGTCAGATGCCAGGTGAGCAGGCATATGGAGACTTCTAGCATAAGCGTAGGGTTTAGCCCACGGCTGGGATCCCACCTCATTGGATAGGGCACAGCCTTGGCGCACTGGATGGCAGAGGAGTTGCTGAGGTGTCTGTGGGTGTGACTTGCCCTCTGGGGTGCCAGAGGAGGCCACCCTTGGAGAGGTGCTGAGCTTCTGTGCTCACTCTGTGCCAGGGAAGCTGCTGATTGCTGGGTGCTCCTGGAACCAGTAGTTGGAGAGGCCCCTCTGCAGGAAACTAGAGCATTTTTGTGCAGTTCAGTTGTGCAGACAGCTGCACAGGAGGAAGGTCAGTCAGCTTGCTGGACAGGAATCTTCACGGGGGGCCCCAGTGTGCATGTGTGTGGGGCTGAGGAGAGGGTGCAGGAACAGCTCCCCGGCTGGGACCCAGGCCTGCGCTGTCCAGGGCCGTGGCTGTGCTGCTGTTACCTAAGTCAACAGCTAGAGAAAACACGCTGAGGCCAAATGCTGGCAAAAGCTGCGCCCTGCAGGCACCTCACCTGGAGAAACTGCCTGGGCCAGCAGTGGAGAGAAAAAGCCCCCTCTCCAGTCTCCAGGAGCCTGGTAAGAGAGAACCGCAGGAACCAGGAAGAAAGAGTCTTTCCTTGTGCAAAGTCTCTCCGTCACCCTCTACTGACAAAACTTAAATTGTACCTGCTGCAATGGAAGAATATTTACGAGGCCCGTCTCTATTACCACGGAGCAGGCAAAAAGAGTAACTTTGGAGCTGAGAGGCAATAAATTGATAACCAGCACAGATGGATACCACCCTTATTTCCCCTTCCCCTTTTGGTGGCCATTTGAGTGGTTTTCAGGCTTTTCCCATTGGGACCGATGCTCTGATGAATGTCCTTGTCTGTGTCCCTACGTGCATACGGAATGGTCTTTGGCTGGCGCCTGGACCTGGAATGACTGGGTCACTGGATATGCGCACTTCAAAGTTCGGTAGATTGCAACAGATTGCCCTCCGACAGGCTTTACTCGTTTACACTCCTAACACTTTCAGATGTTCTTTCCCTTTATGCTTGGACGTGATCAGTTTTGCTAATTTTCCCCTAATAATTGCTTATTATTTCAGTTCTTTTTCTCCATGCATCTTCTTTTGAGAGCCCATGTTTCATCTGTGGAGCCACAGGGGACAGGGCTTCTCTGGGGTCAGTTTTCCTGTGATGGGCCGGCCATTTGAGGGCTAGGTCCCAGTGGGCTCCCCTCAGGCCGTGCCCTTGGCTCTCTCTCCCAGGCTGAACCTCCGGGAGCTGGGCCCCTGGGCCTCCCACATGCGCTGGCTGGTGTGGATCATGGCCTCTGTCGGCACCATCTATGTCTTCTTCTTCCATGAGCGGTAAGCCAGGGCTGGGGGCTCAGGGGGACGGGGTGCCCCTTGATGCTGCAGAGATGAGGCCCCAGGATGACCCCAGAAGCATGAGAGCACAGCTCCACCTGGCATCCTAGTTTTCAGGCCTGTAGATGGCCACCAGGTTGACAGCCCAGGGGGTCAATCTGAAGAGTTTTTGAAAAAGATCTTGTAGGTTCCTAGACCCACTGAACTGTGTCACATGTTACAGCCTTCCAAAGCTGTGTTAGCAGATAAGGGGGAGAGGCTCTGAGCACTCCAGACCCCCTTCACCTCCATCCTGCTGAGTGACGGGATGGGAATAATTAAGTGGGGAAAGAAACCAAGCTTTAGAAGCAAAAGGGAATAAAAGACTCCTGGCATCTCCAGGAATGGCAAATAGGTGTCAGTTGATACAGCCTCTCAGATCTATTGAGAGTGACTGCTTGGGCCCTGCGGGAAAAGGTGCTGGGATCGAATAGTAATGTCTGCCCTGGGCTTGAGTGTGGGGAGTGCCCATACACAAGCTATACCCAGTCTTTGCATCCCTGGCACGTCATTTCATGGGTGTGGAAACCGAGTCTCAGAGAGGGAAAGAGACCTGCCCAAGGCCACCCAACTCTGCCAGCTCCTCTTGGGTGTAGCTGGGTGGAATCTGAGGCCAGGAGTGCTGGGCAGAGGACCGAGTCCCGTCTTCTCACTCTTCCGGTCAGGGTGTCCCTCCTACGCCGTCCCTCACGGGGAGGCTGTCCCGAGGCCAAGGGGGCTTGTCTTCCTGCCAGGTACAAGCTCGTGGAGCTGCTCTGCTACGTCGTCATGGGCTTTTTCCCCGCCCTCGTCATCCTCTCAATGGTAAGTCCCGCGCACCCGGCGTGGGGCCTCAAGTCTGGCTGGAGGGGACCCAGAACGACTCCCGAGATTGTCAGGTGGAACCCTTTCCTCTGGCAGACGGGGAAACTGAGGCCCCGTGGGTTAGCCTGACTTGCCTAAAGGGCAGTAGGTCAGGCAGGTTAGTCCTGAGGGCTTGGCTACCCGGCCCTCCGGCTCGCACTGTCTGCCAACCTTCAGTGGGTTCACTGCCCTCTGCGCTTCCGTTTCCCCGTCTGTTTAAGGGTTGAATAAGAAAACCCGCGGAAAGGGATTAGCACGGTGCCCAGGACACAGTAAGCGCCCGGTGCTGAATTCCGTCTACACTGATGATGTAACTGATGGTGGAGGCGGAGCCGGGCCCAGGTCTCGGACTCCTCCCCCCGGCGTTTCCGCATCTCAGCTGCTTCTTGGTACATGAAACCAAGCGCAGAAGGGGCAGCCGGGTGCGTTTCTTTCCCGCACACTGACCGAGCCCTTACGAAGTGCAGGACGCATACCCACAGGATCTTACTTCCCCATCCCAGCGTCCTTGGAGATAAATGTGACCACCCGTTTCACGAATGAGGACACTCAGGCCCTGAGAGGGGAAGCCACCGGCGGAGGACATGCAACCCCGGACCGGCTGAGCTGGGATTTGGCCCCATACCCTCTGACCGCGAGTACTGGGGTCTTTGAGCTGCTCCGCCTCGCCCTGGGGGCTGCAGAGCCTTGCAGAGAGAGGACCGAGGGCCCCGGCGGGTGGAGGGGAAGAGAAGCAGCTTGCATGGCCATGCGTGGATTACCTCTCCTCTCTGAGCCTCAGTTGCCCCATCCGTCCAATGGGCACAGTAAACTCAGCCTGCCCCTCTCCCTCGGCCAGATGACAGTTTATTATTTTAAAATTATTACTATTGGTTGGGCCGGCCCCATGGCTTAGCGGTTAAGTGCGCGCCTTCTGCTACTGGCGGCCGGGGTTCGGATGGGGCCTGGATGGCGCCTGGATGGCGGATCCAGGTTCGGATCCCAGGCGCGCACTGACACACCGCTTCTCCGGCCATGCTGAGGCCGCGTCCCACATACAGCAACTAGAAGGATGTGCAACTATGACATGCAACTGTCTACTGGGGCTTTGGGGGAAAAAAAAAATAAATAAAAATTAAAATAAAATTATTACTATTGGCAGATGTTAACATTTTATGTAGTCAAATCTAACAGTTTTTTTTTTTTTTTATGGGTTTTACCTTAAGTGTTACGGTTAGGAAGTTCTTCCCTTCCCCAAGTGTATATGAATATCTATCTATATTTTCTGTTTCTTTTATGGTTTAATTTTTAACTTGTTATTCTCACTGTAATTTCTTTTACATATGTATATTCTTTCTTCCCCAAATGATTAGCCAGTTATTTCATTTATCTACCATTTTTTTTTTTTTTAAAGATTTTATTTATTCAGTTTTTTCCCCCCAAAGCCCCAGTAGATAGTTGTATGTCATAGGTTCACATCCTTCTAGTTGCTGTACGTGGGACTCGGCCTCACGTTGGACGGAGAAGTGGTGCCTCGGGGCGCTCCCGGGATCCGAACCCGGGCCGCCAGCATCAGAGCGCGCACACTTAACCGCTAAGCCACGGAGCCGGCCCTATCTACCATTTTTAAATGCTCCTTTTATCATATGTTAGTCATATATATGTGTGGATCTGTTTCTGAGATTTCAATTCTGTTTCATCGGTTGGCCTGTTTTTATACTAGTACCAAACTGTTTCAGTTGCTGTAGCTTTAATTGCAACTTCATACTTGGCAGTGAAGTCTTGCCCGTTATTTTTCCCACTCAACATTTTTCCTATGATTTGTACTCATTTTTACAGATTAGCTGTTTTCCCCAAGTTTATTTTTATTTAAATATGTATATTTAAGTTATATCTATTAAATTATATAATATCCATCAAATTATGTATTATATATATTTAATACATATATATGCATATATATAGTAAGTGTATATTTCAGTACATACTCACTGCAAAAAATGTCTCATCTGAAAATATATAGAAGAGCAGAAGTCCCCCTCCCATATTCTCCCCGATACAATGCCCCCGCTGCAACCACCATTCACAGTTTGTTGTGTATCTTTTCCATTTTTTTTCTCTTTTTTATACATTTTGAAATTTCAGTTGTACATTATTATTTGTCCGTCACCATGTGTATGTGCCCCTTTACCCCTTATGCCCACCCCTCAACCCCCTGTCCTCTCTGTACGTGTGTTTGTTTATCTACCATATATGAGTGAAATCATTCAGTGTTTGTCTTTCTCTGTCTGGCTTATTTCACTTAACATAATACCCTCCAGGTCCATCCATGTTGTTGCAAATGGGATGATTTTGTCTTTTTTATGGCTGTGTACTATTCCATTGTGTATATAGACCACATCTTCTTTATCATTTCATCATTCAATGGGCACTTGGGTTGCTTCCACGTCTTGGCTATAGTGAATAGTGCTGCAGTGAACACAGGGGTGCATAGATCTCTTTGTATTATTGATTTCATGTTCTTTGGATAAATACCCAGTAGTGGAATAGCTGGGTTGTATGGTATTTCTATTTTTAATTTTTTGAGAACTCCATACTGTTTTCCTCCATTTTTTTTATTATGTACGGGTCTAGGTGGATATGCGACATATATTGACTTGTTTGTTTTTCTTTCACAAAAATGAGATCACGCTGTGCGTCGTGTTCTGCAGCACGCTCTTCTCGCTTAGCAGGATGTTGTGGGCACGTTTCCATGACTGTCATGTAGAGTAACACCCGCCACAAGGTTGTTGTGAGGATGGCATTAGATGAGTCACGTGAGGCCCTCAGTACAGGGCCCGGCACACAGTAAGTGCTAGGAAGTATTAGGTATTGCTGATCTTATTATGTAATTAATACTCAATTATAGTACTCCTGAGGACTGAGTGAGTAAATGATTGTACATCTGTACAATGGAACACTATGCAGCTGTTCAGAAGATGGGGGGAGATCTCCGTGTGGGAATGCAGACTGCGCTCCAAGAGACTGGTTAGTGGACAAGGAGGCTGCAGAAGGGCAGGGATGGGGTGAGCCCACTTACCCAAAATGATTAGTTCCTGTGCACGTGTACGTATATGTGAAGTGCATGTTGTAGATTGTACGTGTATAGACAGTTTCTGGAAGGATACCACAAGACACTGTTAATGGTGGTAACCTGGAGGAAGTGAATTCTTACTCCTCCATCCCTCCCGCTCTACCTGAGTCCCTTTAACCAAAAGCAACTCAAGTGTGACGAGTGCTCATCTCTGAGGGCTAGGACTACTGCTTTTTTTGTTGTTGTTTTCTCTAAATTTTTTTTACCGTGGATATGTATTACTCTTTTTTATTGTGATAAAATATACATAAAATTTACCATTTTAACCATTTTTAAGTGTCCAGTTCAGCGGCATCAAGCACATTCACATTGTCGTGCAACCATCACCACCATCCATCTCCAGAACTTTTTCATTTTCCCAAACTGAAACTCTGTCCCCATTAAACACTGACTCCTCATCCCCCTCCCCCAACCCCTGGCAGCACCATTCTGCTTTTTGTCTCTGTGAATCTGACTCCTCTAGGGACCTCATCTAAGTGGAATCATGTAGTATTTGTCCTTCTGTGACTGGCTTCTTTCACTCAGCATAATGTCCTCAAGGTTCATCCATGTAGTATGTGTCAGCATTTCCCTCCTTTTTAAGGCTGAATAATATTCCATTGTATGAGATAACATGAATAACATTTTGTTTATCGAATCATCTGTTGATGGACACTTGGGTTGCTTCCACCTTTTGGCTCTTGTGAACAGTGCTGCTGTGAACCTGGATGTACAAGTATCTGCTTGAGTCTTTGCTTTCACTTCTTTTAGGTATACCAGATGTATTAATTTTAAGAAAAGATAAAAAGCTATACAATATTCTTTGAGATTCTGTGGAAATGCGTTACATTTGAGAATTAATTTGGGGAGAATTGATGACAGTGTTGAGACGCCCCACCCGGGAATCTGGGCTGGCTTGCTGTCCACGTGTCTTTTTGTTTCGGGTGGCAGGGGAATGGCTGGGTGCTCCCGGCCCTGCTGGCTGCTCCTCTGACCTGTGCCCCACCCTTGTCCTTGCTGACAGCCCAACACCGAGGGCATCTGGGAGCTGGTGACCGGAGGGGCCTTCTACTGCTTGGGCATGGTCTTCTTCAAGAGTGACGGGAGGATTCCTTTTGCCCACGCCATCTGGCATCTCTTTGTGGCATTTGGTGCTGGTACCCACTACTATGCCATCTGGAGGTACCTCTATCTGCCCAGCACCCTGCAGGCCAAGGTGTCCAAATGAGGTGGCCCAGACTGCACAGGACATATGGGCTTTTGGAGCAGAGCATCACGGGAAGTGTTTCTGCGAACAGAGCACAGCACCCAGGCCCGTCTGCCCGTCTGTGGGTAGACCTTTTGATGAGTCCGAGGTTACTTCTGGTGACAGCCAGACCGTCCCTTGGGTCCCAGGTGACAAAGAAAGCATTTAGCCATTTTTATAGAGGAGAAATTAACCTTGTAATGTGTTTCTATTCTAGACAGGTGTCTCCTAATACAACCGACATTAACATCTTCAGAAAAGGGAGCAGACATTATCCTGGCAAATTGGGGGAAGATGGGCCAATATGTGCTACTTATGGTCCTGAGAAATCTATCAGGGGGTCTGGCGGGTTGTTGATACCCAGCTGGCCAGGCCCTCCCTCTCTGCTACCAAAGTCCTGGCTGGGGCGTTGTCCCCTGCTCAGGGAAAGTCACCAGCTTGTAGATCAGGGATGGTGAATACCCGAGACCACAGCAGACATCACCAATCAACTGTAGCACGGCGTGGTATCGGAATTCTTCTCAAGATGGTGCTCTGGGCAGCCAGGACCAATTGCTCAGCACTCGTGAGGGCACCTCTTAGCACTTCCTGCCTGGAGTGCTCTGCGGGGATCATGGCCAGACCAGTTGAATGTCTTTACGTGGGGGAGCATGCTTATGTCCCAACACGACGCCTCCACCACCTTTCCCTTGTCCCTTTTGGGGAGCTCCTAGGTGGGCAGATGGGGGCAGTAGAGGGAGACTGAGGCGCACACCACGGGTAGCCCCTGACCTTCGGCTCCACCGTAGCTGGTCCTCAGTGCAGGGCTGAAGTGAGGGATGGGGATGGCCATGGGGAAGCTGTTACTTGGCCATTTCTTCTCATGCCGAAAAATGCAGAGTAATTATGAGAGCCATTCATTAGAGGGGCAGGCAGATCCCAGGAGCTTGCTTGCCTGCTCCAGATTTAGGGTTTGTGATGGCAGCATTCAGATGGCCCGGAGAGGCTCCTCAGATGAGCCCCAGAGGGAAGGCCTTGGCTAATTTGATAGGAATCTGGGCACAGCATCTGGGGTACCCCAGCCTCTGAAGCCCCCAGTAGCCCAACAACAAAGTTTCCAGGGGCCTGTCCTCACAGCCACCTCCCAGGGCCGGGCCAGCTGCTCTGTACCCGGCACGTGAACGTTTCCTGGGGAGAGGATCCAGGCCCAGCTCCGGGATCTGAATTGGAATCTCAGAATCTCTGGATGGAGGATCTGTCTCAAGTTAGATGGGCTTCATTCTACGACTCCCAATCAGAGTCAATGGGCGAAGACAGAATGGCTTATTCTTAGTTCTAGTACATTCCAGACTATTTCAGGGCTCTAGCATCTGGAATCCTGTGTGTCCAAGCCAGTATTAAAGCATCTGACACAGACAGGCGGGTTCTGAGCTGGGAGATGCTCTGGGGATGTTTAGTCCTCTTGCTTGTGTGTGTGTGTGTGTGTGTGTGTGCGCACACGTGTGTCTGTCTACACTGGCACTCCCAGCCCCTGGAAGCTGCCTTAGGTACTCCGGCCCTGTGGAGCTCACCAAGTATTTCCCCTCAGCTGGGGTCAGGGTTGAAGTTCAGGGGTGAGGGAGGCTGGGGAGGATCTTGCCCCTGGTTGGGGGTAGGGACACTGTGAGTTGTCCCTGCCTGGGCCTGAGGCAGGGGGAGGGGCCCGTGTGGGTTCTGGGATGCTGTTTAGGAGGGCTCCCAAAGCATGGCACCATGCCATGCTGAGATGAAAGTCCATCATGGAGGTGCTGATGGGGACCAAAGCCCCATGCTGCGTGCTTGGGACACTGACCCGGGGCCTCTTTAGTGGCCCCAAAGCCACTGCTGAGCTGCTCCTCTGACACCTGCATCTCCTCCTGCCCCTCCTCCTGCCCCTCCTCCTGCCCCTCCTCCTGCCCCTCCTCCTGCCCCTCCTCCTGCCCCTCCTCCTGCCCCTCCTCGGGGGTATTTGATCTCGCATTTTCCCCTAGACAACCTGCCCCTTTATGCCCCGCACGTTTAGAAGTGCTGGTTCACCCCCTCATCCACCCAGGTCACTCCTATGCATCCTTCAAAGCCCCGCTCAGGCATCAACATCCTTCAAAGCCCTGCTCAGGCATCAGCATCAAGGAACTTCCGGCCTTCCTCCAACTTAAGGGCTCCCTGCTGCTTCCCAACAGCCTCTGTGCTCAATTGCCCCATGGCTCAGAGCCCTGTCCTTCGTGACCCTGGTACTTGTGCCTGTCCCCTAAGACAGGAGCTCCTGGAGGGAGGAACTGTGTCTTGCTGGACTTGGGATCAAATCCAGCATCCGCCACTTGTGAGGGCTTGGGCCCATTCCTTAACCTCTCTGTGCCTCAGTGTCCTCAGCTGTAAGATGGGTATAGTTAGGCAACTCTCGGCTCGCAGGGTTGCTGGAAGATGCAGCAGGATAATGAACGGAAAACACCCAGCCCAGGCTCATGATTGGCTCCCTTAGTTGTCCACTTGGAAAATAACCCCTGATACTGAGGATGACATTCTTCCAGGGGTGTCAGAAAGTCCATGCTGCCCAAAGGAATGAATCACTAGTGGTGGAATTTCTGACTGTGGACAGGCTGGTGAGGACACTGGAGGGTGTTCTGTAGGATCTTGACCACATTCCCTCCCCTCACTTCATTCAGGACATGCTTCCCATGAACCCTCTCTCTTCCCCAGCGTCATTCTGAAAGCGAGTTTCCTAGGATTCCATTTCCTCCAAGCCCAGACCCTGGACCTCCTCCAAATCTATCACCAACAGTGCAGGAAAGGGAGAGACGTTCCTCAGGCCAGTCTCTGCTGTAGGTAAGGCCCTGCCGCAGGAGCATTTAGGCTCTGTGCTGGGCGTGTGGGGTGGAGGGGCACGACACTGGAAATTCAGCTGCCAGCTCCCTCTTCCTGTCCATTGAGGCCGTCATGTGCCAGGATGACCCAGCAAAGCGACTGTCATGCCCCCAGGGTCCCCCAGGGGGGAGTCGGGAGCAGACTGGCCTGTTTGACATTCTGGACACTTCGGCCACTGCTCCTGAGTTAGGTGGGCACTGGCTGGGCGGGATGAGGGGTGGGAGCTGATGAGAGAGGTTAGAGATGAAGGCAGGAGCTGGGGGGGGCGGAGGGCCACTCAGCAGGCTCACACTCCAGCAACGCGCCCCCTGATGCACAGCCGTGCTGGTGGGCAGGCCTGGAGTTGACAACGTGCTTTGTTAGTCCATTGGTGAGGTCAAGGCAAGCCAGAGCAGGCGTGCTTGCTGGTGGAGGGAGGCCCGTCTGCCAGCTGCCAGGACTTCCCTGAAAGGCTCAGAGCAGAGCCGGCCCAGGGCCATCCCAGGGGCCAGGAACCTCCCAGCCCAGGGAGGGATTTAAATCAATATCATAGACCAGAGCTGCTTTTCTCTCTTGATGGGAAATTGCACGTACGGTGGGAGCAGGGCCGAGCGTCCTTCTTCATTGGCGTTGGACTCAGGCAGGGGAAGAATCCTAGGAAAGCCCTGGGGGCGGGGAGGATGCAGAGATGGGAATAGCAAGTGGGCCTGGACCGCAGGTCTAAAGCTCCCTTGGTTGCGGATGGGGGCGCCCGCAGGGGTTGGTTAGAACGTCCTGAAAGCTCATGAGAACGGTTGCAAGCCAGGGTTTTCTGGGATTTTCAGCTCCAAGCTCTCTTTTCCATATCCATCTGCAAAGACTGAGGTGCTCTGAATGTTTCCCACAGCTCTGCCCGAGCCCCAGCATCTGGGCTCAGGCCTCCACCAGGAAGGGGGGCGGGGACAGCTAGGTTGGCTTCCTGCACTGCAGGTGTTCAGAGGGGCAGGGAGAGCTCAGAGGGCTGGGACAGGGGTCTCGAGGGCTGGTCAAAAAGGCCCTTGTCTAATTTGCCGCCACATACTGTGTAACCGGATGCTGAAATGCAGGCTCTGGGAACAGCATCGTGGGGTCCTGAAAGGGCCTGTGGAAATCCCGGCAGCCACGTCCATATGAGCCCACAGACGCAGGGTCTTCCCAGGTGTGGTGCGCAGCAGGTGAGAGGGGAAGGAGCAGGAAGCCGGGGGAGGCAGAGGCTTACCTGTGGGGCGCACCTCCTGGGGGCCAATCTCTATGTGAGTGGCTTTATAAATGCTCTAGCCATTTATTGACACAGCCCCCTGCAGGGTGAGGATTACTAGCTGATTTTACAAAGCAGGAAGCCAAAGCACAGAGAGGTTTGGCGACTTTCCAAGGGCACCCAGTTTCTAATCAGCAGAGTAAAACTTTGAAGCCAGGACTATCTAACCCCCAACTGTTGTGTCCCTTGGCCAGATCTGGTGCTTCCAAGGAAACCCACTGCCCCCAAGTCTTTCCCCCAGGGAGGAAAGCCAGCTCAAAAATTTTAGTGATTAAAAAAACCAAACACTAGTGTGCAGCATTTGCCAGTATGCCACCAGTGACATCACTGAAGACTCATTGGGAAGAGGTGCGCACAGTTGGCAAGCCCGTGCCACCAGGCCCAGCACATTGCTGCCCCACATCTTCCCGACTGTGCCCCCCAACAAAGCCCAGCCAGGATTGCCAGGGATGTGATGTCAGCGAGAACAAACCATTTCTGGAGGGTCCTTGTTTGGGGTCAGCCTGTTACCAAGATGCTCGGAAACTTCCTCTCAGGAGTCTGGAATCTGCAGCCGGTCAGACCTGATCCAAGTCCAGCCCTATGCTGGCCAGCATGAAGACCCTCGGGCAAGTCCCTCGTCTGCTCTGTACTTCAGTTTCCTCCTCTGTAAAATGGAGATTGCGATCAGCCCACGGAACCCGTCTCTCTCTTATTAACTGCAGGGCGGAGGCCACGTCTCTGCCGGAGGGAGTTTGAGCCGGAGCCGTGTTCTTAACCCTGGGTTTGGCCAGAGAACCACCGAAGGGGCTTGCTAAACCAGAGATCCCAGCTCCCTGCCCAGGAATGGTGAGCCAGTAGGTCACGAAGGACTCTGGAGTCTGAACTTCTAGCAAGTTCCCTGGGGGTTTGGACACTGGTTCTGGAAGCCCCGGCTGGGAGCTCATCTAC